GAGGGGCTTTCTGGCCTCGCCTTGGGCCGGAGGAGCAGCCTGGCCTCCCCCTGAGGGGCATCGCCCTCCTCGCTTCTCGCCCAGGAGCCATGTGCACGTCCCGGCTCTTCACCCTCGTCCTGGTGGTGCAGCCGCCCCGCATCCTCCTGGGCATGAAGAAACGCGGGTTTGGAGCCGGGCTCTGGAACGGCTTCGGGGGGAAGGTGCAGCCGGGAGAGAGCATCGAGGAGGCTGCTCGCAGGTGAGAGCTGCTGCCCTGGGGAGAGCAGGTGTCGGGCACAGGTTGGGCCGTGGAGGTGTGGGACCGTTTGTGGTGGGCTGCAGGTGGAGTTACTGCGGTTCGGCTGGGCGAGAATGCCCTCGTAACCCAGCCGTGAGCCAGCCCTGGCCGGAGATCGCCTGCTCCTCGGGAGACAGGGGATCGTCCCTGGGTACAAAGAAATGGGGCTGCTCCCTGTGGCTTGTCATCTGCAAATCTTTAACTGTTGTCCAGTCTGTGTGTAACTGAAAGTTACCACGTGTGCTCCTTCCCATCTCTTGGACTCTGATCCGAGCCAAGACAGAGTTCGCTACTGGTGAGCAGAAGTGCTTGTACTGTTCAGAAAGATGCAGAGTTTAGTTTTGGCTGTACAGCAGTTTATGCCATTGTGCTGCTTGTTGTTCAAATTTTGAAGCTATTGAACGGGTGCTACCTTCCAGTAGCATTTTCAGCACTGTATGAAAATGTAGTGACAAAATATTAGAAAGTGTCAGAGGTTCCTTATGAAAGGCACTGTAGAAATGTATTATTTGTCTGCATGGCAGTGTTTCTAAGCCCTAATGCTGAGTTAGGGAATTGAATTCCATCAGTACAGAGGTACAGTACTATTTTTGAAGCTTTTAGTACTGATTTCTTCTGAGTTTTCCTCTGTCTAATAAGTAAAATTAAATAGCAGATTGAAGCTGAATTGCAAAAATTCTCTGCAAAAATGTTGCTGATACAAAACCACACGTTGCCACCTCCTTGCTTTTTGATGCATGCCCAAAATTGCCGTTGCACCTGCAGGAAGATCAGTGTTGGTGAGTTCAACAGCAGCCTAACAGCTTTTGCCCTGAACCATCTCCTCAGCTGTGCCAGTGCAACCACCTGGGCTCTGTGGTGGGCTAATCCAGGGCACAGAAGGGTCCTCTATGCAGACGCACACCCAGCAGCACATGGCGTTAATGTACGTGACACATCATGCCCGGCTGCTGTGGAACAGCCCAATCCTCAGCCCTTTCAACATAGCTGGTAGGAGTTTACTGCAGAATCGCACAACTGATTCC